AGGATGAGGCCTGCACCACAGCTCACCATGCTTTTCTAGAAAGTTTTACAAGAAGGTTGTTTAAAGTGTTGTTTTGGCCTTAATGGTTTTGTAGTTTCATTTATTTGATTTTAAACTATAGTTTGAGCTCAAACAATCTTTCATAAAGGGTTTTTTTAGGATCACATTTTCTTAAATCTTAACCCTTTTACTATGATAATTACTTATTAGATTGGGGAAATCCTAATCATTATGACAATGTTCTATATGTTTAGTAATATTAAGGAAGACAGTACAGGTATAGCATCAATGTTATGTAAAAAGTACCAATTCTAATGAAGGATAATCAGACTATATAAGATCAATTTGAATGAACATCAAGGGTAACACCAATATTGGAAACTACTAGCACAGGTGTTACTTAGAGCTCGAGACAAGAATGAAGAAAAGAGATGAAGGAACATAATAGGTAGCATTGGTGCTAAAAGCTTAGTACCTTGCTAAAGTTGCTTAGCCAAAACAAGTTCCAGAAAAAAAAAATTAACATGAGGTGCAACTAAAAATCTCTAGCATAAGAATTATAGTTAAGTCAAATATTTAACTAATGTAGAAATATTTTTGAAGAAAGAAATTCTGTTTCATGGATAAGCTATTACTTAAATCATTTTTAGTTCAATGTTTAGCCAATTGATTTTAGTTAAGATTAGATAACCTGTAAAACACAATCTTTTCTTTATTTTATAATCGTTAAAACCAAGGTTCAACAAAAGATCTAGGACATACTAAATATTATAGTGTTATTGAAAATTTAGCATAAGTAAAACTTGAACATTGAATTTGAATCAAATATTTGTCAACATTAGAAAGAGGAGGAGGAATGGAGGAAGAGGAATTCAAGGAGACTAATGATAGGAATCATGAACAATGTTGCAATCAAACAAGCCCATTGTGAAAGGTCTAACTAGTTAATTACAACATTTGAAAAGACAAAAAGACATATAATAGAGTAAAGATTATGAAAAATGAAGTTTATTTCTAATTGTTATACTTAGATGAAATCAGTTCTATTGTAACTTGAAGTTCTTTCTACTTTGTAAGATCTCAAAAAACTATAGGATTTCAATAACTCAATAGAATATCAGAAAAAGACATGCATTTCTCCTAACCATTGGTAACCAAAATGCACTATGTACTATTGCATAGTAGCAATGGCAGTTCGCAGACTCTGAATCTTGTATTTATAGAAACTAGTAATGGCAATTAACATCTTGAGAAAACTATAGCAATGTTATCAAATATAGTAATATTATAATGCATAAATAATGAGTGAAAGAAAAGGAAAATGGAATGGAACTCACTACATACCACTTGTCTTGATGTCAAGAAAACAAAAACAAAGAATTCAAAGTATAATCTAGCTTATGGACTATTGAGTAGTCCAAATTACAAAAATGAAAGAAAATTATTCATAAAAGATCATTCTATCTCTAGGAGAATGTGAAGAGTTATGGATGATAGGTCCATAGTAGCTCCCTTAACAGATTAGGTACTTGTTCAAAATTCAAAGGTGAAAGAATATAACAAGAAAAGCTTTTGTAATTGAATGGGAATGCATTACCTCATCTAAGGGTGTTTTTTGAGAAGGTTAGGCAAGAATAAATGAAGAATGAAAGAACAAATGTAGTACAAAAATGAGCATACAATTCAATAACCCAAAAAAAACTCCCTCAATCCTTAGATTTATTTCTCTAAATTAAGCAGTTGTGAGTTCCATACTGTGACAGACTCACTGGCATAGAATAAATTCAATGCTTTTAAGGGAAAAAAGTATGTATTGACTACAAAATGGTTCATTTTGATAGCCTTCCCAAACTTATAAACATGAGACAAAGCTTCCAATAAAAACCTGAAAGGCTTCGTAAAGCCTTTGGTGGTGCTACCCATACCGAACTCATTCATATTAGTCATTATGATGAGAATCCCTCCCAGGTCCTTCAATCTCTTCACTGCTGTACAAAGATTATTTATTTTCCAAGCATTAAACAGAGGGACAAAAGTAGACCTTGCTTGTACGAGTAAAGTCGTGGCAGCCTTGTGGTGTGCTTGTCGATGCCTTTGGTAGTGGTAGGTTCAGGAGCAAGATTAGGGAAAGGATTCGATGCCTCTCTTTATTTCAATTAGAGCTAAGATCAATGAAAGAGCAAGACCGCTTCCTTGATTCTAGGTCCAATCCTTAAGCCTTAAGCCGAATGGAGAAGAAAAGCATGCGAACACTCAATAAAGATGGGAGATGGATCGTGTGAAGGAAAAGAGATAAAAAGTGAGTTTTGTAAGTGATTTGGAAGGATTTTTATGAGGGAGTATGAAGGAAAAGAAGGGGTTAGGGATTTCAAAACAGGATGATTATAAATTTTGATTGTCCTGTATAATCAACACAAATTAAGATTGTTATATTACTTAATTGTTCTTTATCTTTAGAAACTTAAAAGAAAGAAGAAAATTCTTCAACTTGAACACATATAGGATAGTTATCTATATAACCATTCTATATTGGGATAAATATATATATATATATATATGTATGTAGGATGGTTATATAAATAAATGTCTTATATAAGCCTTTACGTACCTCATTTCACTTCTTTATATACGACGATTCTTCTTATAACCATATTATATAAGGTAACCTATAGTCTTTTTTGTAATAATGTTTCATATATTGCCACATTCTCACATTGTTCATTATCTTTTCTAGTGCTTCGCAGCTCATATATAATCATGGTGAATCCTCCTCTTTGGCTGCAGTGCTACTATTACTCCTTCACTAATGATAAGCATTAACATCTAATATACAAGGTTGGTCCTCTACTTGTTTAGTATGGCCTCCATATGAAGCTTACTTTGATTCACAAACCAAGTTAAAGTTTGGGTGCAGCATTGCCTACTTGGCCAAGCTCCTCTTCCATTTTGGATCACTGGGCTGTGAAGCTCGAACATGCCTTGCTTGTCGAAGTTTGCCATGGATTCTTCCCAAAAATTCACACTGCACTTCCTAACCAGTTTTATGACCTTCTAGCATTCTTCAGGACCTCACAAGATCAGCAAGCTTAGCAAGAAATTTTCACATACGAGAAACTATCTTGTAAGAAAGCTCGTGCCGTTGAAGAGGCAGGGAGGCTTAAGACGACGAAGATCTAAAGGACAAAAACTATCTTGTCTATTGTAGTTGCATGCATCTCAAAATTCTTCTTTGATTTCGATCGTCTTAGAAAATGAATGATTGCCAAGCATTGCCGATGACATTAACTCCACACTTTCCTATGTTTTTCCTAGTTTTTTTTAAATGTTTATCTGATGATGTCTCAAAGAATTAACCTCAATATTTGGCTTCCACGTCAGATATTTCATTTGTAATGTTTCATTTATAACTTTTAATTAAAGTTGCCTTTTGACAAAAAAAGGGGACAAAATATTTTTTTTAGGAATTGATGGCCCATAACCATTGTAGAAAATTTTTAACCTCATATGTATATTTTACTTAGAGGAAATCTTTATCCAGTATGATTGGACATTAAACATAGGCACTTCTCTTAATAGATATTTCAAACTTTAATGCACTACGTTGTGAGATAGTTATCCCTCTTTCAACTAAACCCAACTTCAGTTAATTGGTTGCAAGGAAATTTAATTTAAAAAAAATGACAAATAAATGCCATCTTAATAAGCCAATGATACAATAGTATCATGAAATTGGATAATTACTCTAGGATTTATTTTACATAATTTTTTTTACTAAATTACATTTCTAGTCCCTCTTCAAAATAATAGAAGTTGTAGTTAATTTAAACTGAAGTTGTTTTTTTTTTAACCATCAATTTAAATTGATGTTGTTAATAAAGGTAAAGTTGTTGATATAATAAATATATTCCCTTCGTTCAAAAATGTAAGGTATTTTTAACCAAATCTCACCCCCAGTAAAGTAATTACTTGCTTTCCAACTAATCCTATCTTTTTATATTTATCCCTATTAAACACCCTACAATAAATATAAAGTCATTATCAATAGGAATACTTTTTTAAAAAATAATGATTACACCTCGAAAGACTAAAAATATTTTACATTTTTAAATGGAGGGAATAGTTGTGATAGTATAATTAAACTAAGTTATGGCTAGTTGTGTTAGTAATATGTAAACTGAAGTTCTTAACTAGTATATTTATTATGGTAAAATTTATATACTTAGCTTTTTATACTTATTATATTTTTAGACAATTAAATCAACACATATGATTTTTTTTTGAATGAAAACTAAAATGCATTACTAAACAAAACTCAACAACAAAGTACAAGTAACAAAAAACACAAGACAAGATAAACCTATCCACTTTTATCATCCTCCACTCCTAATTTTGGGCATGAATGATGATCAAAGAGGCAAAAGTTAACATCTAAAGAGTGACATAGACTTTGCTAGGTAATCAACAATTCTATTAAAATTCCTATGCACATGATTAAATTTAATTTGGCTCTCCATGAAGAAGAAGGACCTAACTTGATCAACAATATTCTTAAACGGCCGCAACATGTGAATTTTAATGTGTTTATAATATTTATAACAAAAATTTGTTTTAGAATAAATAATATATAAAAAATATACATGCTTTGATTTAATTTAAAACAAAATATTTTAAGCACATAAGGTTAAGTGTATAAGTTTTTTTTATTTGTTATTACATAACTAAACAAACAATTATGTTCTGCATTTGCTGAAAGTTAGAAATGTAGTTTAGCAAAAAAGAAAATCATGTCACATAAATTTCTAGGAATTTCAAAGTAATTATTTTACTTCATGGTATTCTGTTATGATGATAGTTATTTGTCATTTTCCCTAATTTCAATTGAGTTACGAGGTGTTTCATGTAATTTCACAAAAAAAAAAGGTCCTTTTACGTTATAAAGTTGCTTCAAGGTCATTTATTGATATTCCTCCACCGCCAGTGTTTTTAATTTCTTTTTTATTTCCTTCTGCTAAAGCTTGACGCCCTAACCCTTCTTCTAAAGCAGACTTGACCCCCTTCACCCTTTCTATTCCTTATCGTCGCCTTCACATCTCCTACGTCCTTCCTCGGTCCCCCTCTCAGGTTCATTTTAGCCTGGAACAATGCTGCGTAGAAATATCCGCTTGAGGAGAGAGTATCTGTATAGAAAGAGCTTGGAAGGAAAAGAGCGATTGCTTTATGAGAAGAAACGCAAGATAAGAGAAGCACTTCAAGGTTAGCTTTTCACCTTTCTTCCTAAAAAATTTGCGTTCGTGTGATTGGGCTGTTGTTAATTGTGAATATTTTTTATTTGTTTTCTTTTGCAGAAGGAAAACCGATCCCCACTGAGCTTAGAAACGAGGAGGCGGCTCTTCGCCGAGAGATTGATCTCGAGGACGAAAATACAGCTGGTATGCTTCCTTAAATTCTACATTTACCTGTTTATCTTGGCAAACTATTGTCAGTCATGATTTGCATGATTGATAATGGCAGCAGCGGGGCTACTACCTTTTTGTTTGGGTTTATGACTACCTTGTATTCTTGTTGAAGTTAAGTCAAATAGTGTATAGATTATGATATTTGTTGATATAGAATGTGCAGTGGGAGTAGAATTTAGTTAGGGTTGTGCCCGCATTGAATTTGTTATTCCTGTGTGTGTGTGTGTGTTTTGTGTATTTTTTTTTTCTTGTTTCTTAATGCTGTTAAAGCCATAAAAGGGTCTTCTCCTCCTCATCACAAATCTGAGCCCATATGTTTAGCTCTTTTAATTTGGTAACTTCAGCTGATATTTTTTATTAAATGCTATGTTCTTCATTTCAATAATCTAAACTTGCAGGTGTACTACACCAAATCCTTTCATGTGTTAAGGAATGAAGTAATTAAAATGGGTCTCATTATAATGGGGAACTAATAGCCAAATGTCCTATGGCTTCAACCCAACTTTTAAAAATTAAATTAGTTAACAAGGACATTTATCATGTCATAAGAATTATTTACACAGCCTTTTTATGTCTAAAGGATCAGTTCTTGTTGTAATGCTCCTTATCAAAGTTTGTTCTATTGCCCTAAATTGTATATTTTAATGTGAGGTTTGACATGGCTTGTAAGTTGCTGATATTTTTCTTCTCTGTGGTCTATAATTCAGTCCCAAGAAATCATATTGATGATGAGTATGCCAATGCTACGGAAAAGGATCCAAAAATTTTGCTAACCACATCTAGAAATCCAAGCGCTCCTCTTACACAGTTTGTAAAGGTTCCATGCTTTAATTGTAATCATTTTCTTAATTATTCATTTAAAGTTAACTTTATTCAAAAATTTTATTTTTGGTGGTTGCAAACAATTTCTGAGCATTTTTTCCCGTGCTTCTTTTGTTTCCTTTTGTTTTTGTTTTTGTTTTTTTTATTTTTTGTAGGAATTGAGTATTGTCTTCCCAAATGCACAAAGAATGAATCGTGGTGGCCAGGTTGGTATCTTTCCTTTCTTAACCACTATTATATGATCAAGTGTAGCGTGAAGAGTCTCTCTCTCTCTCTCTCTGTTTTTTTTTTTTTGGGTTTGTTTAATTTTAGATATGGTGGATCATTGCTGAAAATTTTATGTGTACTAACATAGTCCTCATGCTTCTTGTCAATGAAGTATGTTAAGAGATCAATTTATGGTTTACTGTTAAGCACTGAAGGGAATGCATGACTTTACAGTATATTAGCACTTAACCCTTCTTCTTTGCCATGAATTCCCTGATCCTGTTATTTCTTATATAATTACTTTTATGATGCCTGCTTCTCTTGCCTGAGCTCCTGCATCTCTTTCAGCATTATATATTTGATTATTTGCTGCATTGACTGCCATCAAGGATCTTGGTATTAAAGATGCTTAAGCTGGCAGAAGGATGAGGAATATTTTTGACGTCTCTAACACAATTCCTCATGTGAAAGCTGTTTAATTTGAAGCATGGACTAAGAAATATGACCTGATTATGATAATGAGACATCACGTGTGGAACTCCTGAATCCTGATTTCTGGTTGACATGAGGGCTTTGATAATTGATACCTTGTTAAGCGCTGACTTGTGATGAAAGGACTACTTATGAATTTTTGACTATTTGGAGAACTATTGGATGGTCAATTTATTTGGAAAAACAGTCAGCGCAACCTATGGATAGGCATTGACATGAGCAAGTTGTATAATTTGTATATAATGCATTTGCGGTTCAATCTTGTTTTGCTGTTATCTGGTGTAAATGAAAATATTGCTCGTTCTTATATGAAGTTTGCATGTTTATCAGCTAAGGAGCCTAATGTCTAAATTGTACGTCAATATCTGACATTTTAGGTTTTTTATTTCCCTTTTATCTGATCATTGCCTGTCCAAAGATTTGTTGCCGTTGATTTATGGATGCTAAGCACTTAAAAGGCATAGCCATGAATATGACAATTTATTACTCTGGGACACCATAATCTATCTGATTCCCACTTTGCCGATGCCTTTTTTATCTTTTTTGTAGTAAAGTGTTGTTTACATACATATTTGCTCTTCTTCTCAGGTTATCTCCGAGATTATAGAAACATGCCGTTCACATGACTTCACAGATGTTGTCTTGGTTCATGAACATCGTGGTGTGCCAGATGGTTTAATTATTAGCCACCTACCATTTGGTCCAACTGCATATTTTGGATTACTCAATGTGGTGAGTGTTTGGTCTTTTGATGTTTGTTATTGATTTGAGGAAGAAATGTGGTAATTAATTGTTTTCCTATAGGTCACAAGGCATGACATTAAAGATAAGAAAGCTGTTGGCACCATACCTGAGGCCTATCCGCATTTGATTCTTGATAACTTCTCAACTAAGGTATGACATTTTCCTTGTAATACTATATTTCACTTGTAAATCTTGTGAAAATATCAGTATTCTGGGTTGTGGTCCGTTGGTTTCTTCTCTATCAGCTTTTAATAGCGGCAAGCCTTATTATACCATTGTATCTTAATGCCCGTAGTCCTACACCATGTTTTGATATCTTACTGAGTATGGAAAAGAAAAGGATCAAAATCTTAAAAGTAAATGTCATGTTAAATTAACTGATAAAGGATGATGATGTTTTAAAAATTGATTTGAACATTCTGAAAAGTTGAATGATATGCTGTATGGATGTTATAATTCAAGTTTCCACTTTATTGTTACCAAAAACAATATTTTTGTTGATAATAAAAAAGACATCCTTTTTCATGACCCTTTTGTTTTACAATTTTTTGTTCGGTATTCACTAAATATGTTTAACAATCATTATCTTCTACGAACTCAACTTTTTTAGGTTGTAAATAGGTTTTTGTTGTGTTTTTCTGTATTTTTGATTTGTGGGTTGTATTGTACGATTGTTCTGTTTTTGCTATGATTGAATTAGTGTTTGTAATAATCTTTTTTGAATATTAATAAAATTGACTCTTTCGTGTTAAGAAAAATCATTATCTTCTACAAACTCAACTTTAGTGATTGTATTGTCCATTAAACAATCAGTCACTGAACGCTGCTTATCGATGTGCAATTACTTATCATTTTTGGGATTATAAATTGGCATCATCAGCTAGGTCAAAGGACAGCAAACATTCTGAAGCATCTTTTTCCAGTGCCAAAGCCAGATACAAAGCGCATTATTACTTTTTCCAATCAGTCTGATTACATCTCGTTCAGGTTAGTTTAACATTGCTTGCTATGGATGATGATGTTTTGGCTATTATTTAATCAATACAACTCTATGATGGATCGCAATAATGATAACCGTCTGTAGCCTCATTTTGGAGGAGTGTAGATATGCTTGGAATTACCTTTATGGTGTGTTTGGATTAGTGGGAATTTGGATTTGGGCCTAATCCCTCATTTGGATATACAAAAATTTATAAATTTGGATTTGATTCTAATCCAAATCTATTTCTTATTATAGTTCTTTTATAATTTTAAATCCCTCTACATTCTATTCATTTGAAATTCTAGTCACTTCAAATATCTTGTTTATCTTTATGTTTTTACTATTGATACCGTTATATCTCTTATATCTTTTCTCATTTCTCATCGATTAAAAAATAGAGATATACTCATCATTCTCAATTTTCTATTTTCATTTTGAATTTCAATTCATCTATCCTCTTCATTTGAAATGTTTTAAATTATCCAAACAAAAGATTTTAAATACTTAGATTTTAAACGTGAGATTTGAAATGCAAGATTTTAAATTTAAAATTTAAATTCAAATCCATCAATCTAAACGCTACCTTATGTTTAAGCTGTAAATTGCATGCCCTTCTTTTGTGACTTTGTTATGGATCCGATGAGCAATCTAAACTATGCATTTGATTGACTAAGCACCTTTTTTTATCCTAGTAGAGGTATAATATCAATCAAGGACTACTAGAGAAAATTTATATTAGTCACTTATTACGAAAACTGAAGTGGATACTTGTCAATTCGGGTTGGTATTTTATTAACAAATATCTTTTCAAGTTTTAACAATTTATTTTAAATTAACAACAGTTCATTCGAGTTTTTTTTCATTCAAATTTTGATAACAACTAGTCCTTGACTGATATAAACTTTCTCCAACAATCCTTCATCGCTATTTTCCCTAATTATTAGAATGTGCATCCAGCATGTATTGGTGATTATTCCCATGCCACATGGTTTTTTAAATGAAATCTCTAACTTGTGAAATTATTAATGTCTTTAATACTTCATATGCATATATGTTTCATCAACGAATGTTACATGCAGGCATCATATATATGAAAAGCATGGAGGTCCTAAATCTGTTGAATTGAAGGAAATCGGACCTCGATTTGAGTTGCGGCTTTATCAGGTTTGAGCTCTCTCTAGGTTGTTCTGCAACTAACTTCTTAGGAAATTAAGGGCTTGTTTGGTTTTGTTCTTATTTTTTTTTTGTTTTTAAAAACTATTTTGTGAACCAATTTTTAGAAATTGTTTTTCAAAATAAAATGAAAAGTAAATCTGTTTGATTATGTTAATTTGAAAACGAGTTAAAAAATCAGCTGATAGTAGTGGTCACCAGTGGTTAATAATTGCAATTTATGAGAGTGGTTGGCCATAGTTAAAGGTAGGTTATAATAGTTAAAATGTAATGTGCTTTAAAAATGAAAATGAAAATAGATCTCAATTTTTCTTTTTTCTTTTTTCTTTTTTTGTTTCTGAAAACAAAAAATAGAACAGTTTTGAAAACAATAAATTTAAAATACTTACCCAAACATTTTTTTTAAATTTTTAAAAGCAGAAATCAAACAGCCCCTAAATCTTCTAATAGTTAGTAAAGTAAATTTTTTGGTTAACTTACGGACAACATTGCCACTTGAATGATTTCTCCACTTCAAGTTGAGCAGGTTTTTTTTTTTTTTTTTTTTTAAATTTTTAAATGATTTTATTCTTGCTTATTTTATTTCGCCAAGATATCATTTTGAATCTTTGGATCAGCCTAAATAGGGTCATAGGATTAACACTTATGCAGTTGAAAATTCATTAATTGGGAGTAGATTTCACTTACGTAATGAGAAAACTCATCAAATCATCATTTTGCGAAGTTTTACCATAATTAGTGCACATATCATTCATCTATTTGCACTTTATTGAAACTTGTATGCCCTCGAGCTGTTTTATGTCATTAGCTTCTCAACATAAATTACATGATTTGGGTATCCTCATCTATGATCCTTGCTGAAACTTGTTCCTAAGTCAGACATGCATGAGTGTGAAAGATAATAGATTTCACTGTACTCTCCATTTAGATATTTTTTGGAAAGATTCAAGTGTTCAACATCTCAAAATATGACATTTTGACAAAACTAAGGTCTCATTATTTATATTTTGCCAATACTATCCTTCTCATATTTTCTCTCTTTAATATTCTTTCACAAATGAAATATTAAATTAAAGTTATTTTTAAAAGTTTATATTTTTGTTATGAAAAAGTAATGTTGCAAGGTGTATTTAGTGAATTTTTTTGGCATGTGTGATTTTATTTATAGGTGTATCATAAATTGAGAAGAAGGGAGTACCTAGTTTTACCATGATTAGCAAGTTATTCATGTTCTTTCAAATTGTTGCAGATAAAGTTGGGAACAGTGGATCAGGATACAGCTCAAACAGAATGGGTCATTAGACCTTACATGAACACTACTAAAAAGAGGAAGTTTCTTGGCGATTGATCGATTTTGGTTTTTTTTTTTTTAATTTACTATAGCATTACAGATTTTAGTGAGGAAGAGAATGATACAAAAAAGTGACGCTAACATTTGATGTAGTTGATTATTTATAACAGAATTTACATTTTGTCGTACGTTTCTTCTATAGCATATCCTTGTAATTTTATTAACATAATGTTTTATGGTTTAAAAGTATATTGTTTAGGCATTTTAGTAACTAGCATGCGATTACATTTAAAGCGTCTTGTATTGCCAGATGTTCTTTGAATTGCCCATTCACTTCAACACCTTGGTCTCTATCTCTAGGATTACATTCTCTCTTTTAAAAAAAACTGGAGTGAGGAGAGGACTCAAAATTAGGGCTGCACAGCAAGGGTGAAGTGGGCAGAAGAAGTAATCTAAAAGTATCCTTTGCCTAATTTGTACGGTACTTCATGGATGCAAAACCTCCACTTGATCCGAACTTCACTTTCTCAGCTTCATTAGTTGATCAGATCATGAACCTCCTTGCATCCAAAGAAGAAATCGACTTGCTTCTCAGAAACAATTCGAAGTCGGATGATGAGCTATTTGGAAAAGACATAGATATGCAACGGCAACCAGAAGTTTAGATTCAACACGATAAGCCTGCTATGTCCGTGACTCGACTTGATCAACCAATGGAAATTCAAAAAAATGATGGTCATTTACCTAATGCTATTTACAATAGTTCAGCAATATCCCAAGGAACTAAAGCTCCTATCTCCTACAAAGATTCGTTGATAGGTTATAATGAATGTTATGGAATCAACAATGGAAGAGAAATCAAGTCAAAACAATGAAGCGCTTGCTAAGGAATTAAAACAGAACTGGAGACCATCGAAAAGGACAAAAAAACTTATGGATCAGCACCTAGCTCTTCAAATCTTTGATACAGGATGGAAGAAAATATGCTTACCTGAAATAAATGTTATAGTTATCAACACCTTAGGCCCAAATCTCTCGAGCCCAAGTTAGTTAAGATGTGAAAACTTGAAAATTTTGAATTAATAGAACTTATTAACAGCTATTACATTATTATAAAAATTAAGGACCAATTTGCTTATAATAAAATACTCAATAGAGGTCCTTAGATAATATTTGATCATTATATCCTTGTGCAACGCTCGTCCCCTAGTTTTAACCCAAATTCTAATATATTAGGGAATATAGCTTTGTGGGTCAGACTATCTAATATTCCAATTCAGTACTATGATAAAGAGATATTATGGAGATTGGGAAATTGTATAGGGAAACGCTGAAAGTTGACTCAAATTCCCTATCAGAATCCGACTCCAAGGACGAATAGGGAAAGACAGAAAGGGAGAAATTTGTGAGGATTAATGTTGAAGTGGATCTTCGAAAAAAAGTGGTACCTAGGCTTCTAATCAGACACGAGTTATATAATGTGGAGTATGAAAGCTTAAATTTGATCTACTTTGGATGTGGCTGCTATGGGAGTAACAAAAACTATTTCCCTCACAATCCGAAGAACAAGACCGAGGAAAGAACTCAAGATTTTACAAAAATTGTTGATCAACACAGCAACAGTAATCCACAGAACTCGAAAAAGCCAGAAGAAGAACAACGAAACCATTTGACACGAGACGCACTAGAAAATAGTGTCAGACTGCCGGAGGAGAAGTTCGGTGAGTGGATGAAGTACAAACATCCAAAGAACGCTCGATTTACGAGAAACCCAATGGATATTTAGGCTGCACATCACCATCGCGGACACGGCTTCGCCTCTAGATCTTGATTTGATGTTCTCGTCGACCTAGAACACGATTCAGATGGCGTGAATCAGAGAGAAATCCCCCCAACGTTCCACCTGAGACCTCACCTATGAAGATTGTCAGAAAGGTTTGGAAGAAAAAGGACATGATAGGAACAAAGAAAACTCGATCACAGGAGCAAGATGAGAAGACCGAAGAACTCTAAAAATATTAAAGCTGGGCCAAGCTTAGAATAGGAAGGCCCAACAAAGGTGAACCTAGACAAAAGAACTTCATCTGACCCTCAGCCCAATAACGCAACTCATAGGCCCTTAAAACGATTATATAACATGGTGAAGGTAATAACAGGGAATTGGGCCCCGGTGACTAGTCCTTAAGCGGAAAAATTACAACAAGCAGCTGTGGGAAAAATACTGAGCAAGACACGACTGAAACTTCCTTCTCCCCTAATGCAAAAGTTTGGCAACACACTAATCCTGATAAAGGTATTCATATCCAGCCAAATTCTCAAATCAATTCTTATTCTCAGCTTGATCACGGAAAAACGTCCAGACCCTGCTTTTATTATTAGCAATGTACTTGAAAGTCAATTCAAAGAGAACTCTTACATAGATATTTATAACAATTCCTCGAGTCTAGCTGATAACCAGAACGACATCATTCAAGTTAGTGATGAAGATGATATTCTTGAAGATGATCTCCTAGATGAAGAATATCATAAATCTGTCCACAATGATGATCTTGAAGACAACGAATTCAGTGATGAACAAATTGAGGATTCTCTAGAAATCCAACACTAGCCACTTCCCAGGTGTATTTCATCCTTTTATTTTATTATGGATTTAATTTGTTGGAATTGTAGAGGAGCTAGTACTAAAAATTTTCCTAAACGTATAAGAGAAATCACCAAGAATTATAACACTCATTGTTTTATTCTCCTTGAAACTAGAGCTAGTGGATCTAGAGCTAATAATATTGTTAGGAAATTAAGCTTTTCTGACTAAATTTGGGTTGACGCAGCTAGTTATGTTGGCGGTATTTAGTTATTATGAAATAATGATTTTGTTCATCTTGATTATATTTATTTTAATGTTTAGCCATTGCACTACAAGATGAATATCTTAGCCAACAATGATTCCTATATGCTCTCTTGTATTTATGGTGATCCTAACCCTCTCCACTAGGAATTACTTTGGGATTCTATTAATTCTATTGCTCATAACAATTATGCTCCTTGGCTTGTCATTGGAGATTTCAACTCTTATCTTTCTTGTGAAGACAAGAGTGGTGGAGAGAGTTTTAATTGGAGATTTATGAAAGAGTTTAGATAATGTATAAATTCTTCCAACCTTCTTGAGCTTAATTTCTATGGTGACAGATTCACTTGGGAAAAAGGTAATGTAAAAGAGAGGATTGATTGGGCTTTTTGCAACCTAGAATGGAGCTTTTTGCAACCTTCTTAAATATGGTTCTGATCACTATCCAATTAGAATTCAATTGTTTAAGGAGGTTTCTCAAGTGCATCAGACAAAACTTTTTCATTGCCTTGCTGCCTAGATGCTTGAGGAATCCTTCTCTTCTTTGGTCAAACATTCTTAGACTAATAATAACTGAAAAGAAGCTACTAAATCTGCCAATTCTGCAACTGTTTAGAACAAAGAAAAAATTGACAGTATCTCTTCCAAAAAGAAAAGAATTTTAAGGAGATTAGAAAGAATTGATAAAAATAGAAGTTACAGAGATAATTATCTCTTGAGAAAATTGAAAAATCCCTTTGGGAAGACTATAACAAAGTTCTTTTGCAAGAAGAGCTAATTTGGTTCTAAAAGTCTAGATGTAAATGACTTAAGTAGGGAGATCAAAACACAAAATTCTTCCACATGTCATCCTTCATTAAAAAGAAAAGGAACCAATTCTATCTCTAAAAGGCAAGAATGACAATTGGGTTGAGGATCAAAATACTCTTAAGAATGTGGTTACTTCCTTCTTTGAAGCTCTCTTCAAGGAAGATGTTGATATTAGACCTAAACTTTCTTTTGTTAAATGTTTTCCACCTCTATCTTCCATTCAAATTCAATCCTTGCACAGGGAAGTGATTAAAGAAGAAATGAAAAATGCAGCCTTTAATATTAGGGCTTTCAAAGCTCCAGGTTATGATGGCATTAATGTTGGCTTCACCCACTCTTATTGGAATGATCTAAAGGATAGCATTTTCAACCTGGTCAAAAGAGTCTTTAGGGAACCTAATTATATAAAGAAAATTAATGACACTTTCATCACCCCGATCCCTAAGACTAACCACTCTACCTGCATGAAAGACTTCCGGCCTATCTCTCTTTGCAATGTTAGCTATAAAATTATCACCAAAATCCTCTCTACTCATTTGCTTGCTTTTATGAATCATTTAATTGGTGAGAATCAAAGCAGCTTCATTTAAGGGTGACAAAGCAGTAACAATATCATTATTGTTCAAGAAATTATCCACTCTATGAGGAACAAAATTGGCAAAAAACGCTTTATGGCCCTTAAGATGGCCCTTGAAAAGGCTTTTGATAGATTCTCCTAGAATTTCATTGATGATACTCTCAATTCTATTGGGATAAATAGTCACTTCAAGAAATTAATTCATGTCGCTATCTCCACTACTCGTATGAGAATTTTATGGAATGGCAAACCATCTAAGGAATTCCCTCCTTCTTGTGGCATCTATCAGGAGGGCCTCTTTCTCTTTATCTATTTGTCCTTCATATTGAAAGATCAAGTCATTGCATTCTTAGTAGCATTGATAAAAATGATTGGAAGCCAATTAGACTAACACCTAATGGGCTTCCTATTTCTCACTTATTCTTTACTGATGATTTGTTACTTTTTGCAAAGTTTTTCATTTCCCAAGCATAAATCATTCAATAGTGCCTTTACTGCTTTAAAAATGTTAACATCAACAGAGCACTTCAACTCAGTGAAGAATTGGGAATTCCTTTCACTGGTAACCTTGGCAAATATCTTGAAATTTCTCTTATTCACAAGAAGATTTCTAAACTTACCTTTACGCCATTAACTGACAAGACAAATTCTTGATTAGCCAATTAGAGAAGTCGATATCTCAACACTATGGGAAAAATGGTTCTTATAAAATTGATTCTCTCAACTCTTCTTAGCTATATCATGCAAACTATGTTGCTACCTGATAATGTGCTGGCAGAATTAGATAAAACTTCTAGAAATTTCCTTTAGGATTCATCTGATGGGAATAAAAAACCTCACCTCTCTATTAGGAATGCGTTACTTCTGATAAAAAGGTTGGGGGTCTTAGTCTCAAAAAGCTCAAAAATTAAAATATTGTCTTCATCATAAAGCTTTATTGGGGTCTCATCATTAAACCAAGTTGCCTTTAGGTTTGAGTCATACGCAATAAATATAATTGTTGCAAACCTACGATTCCTATGGTTGTTAAACCAAACTCTTGCTCATATACTTGGAGTAGCATTTGTTAAATTTGGGATAAATTCATTTCTCTCATTGGTTGGAAAG